TTTTACTCCATAATTTATACTTCTCTGTATTTAAAAAAAAAAGGCCTAAATTTTTCAAAATGAAGAATGTAGTCATTGCCAAATTACTTCCATTATTACTACTAACACTATCTAGTCTACCTTATAATGCTTTAGCTAGCCAAAGATGCAGAGAAACCTTTTGTGCCTAATCATCTACCAAGTGTGACCTTCATCAGGAAGTCCAGCCAACAGGACTCCTGCTGAGAACAGACTAAGCAGCAGAGAAGTTTTTTGTTGTTGTTTTTTAGTAAGAAATATGAGATCCTGGCAACTTCCTGCACTGCCTCTTGGTATACATCTCTACTGCACTTAAATCTTGTTAATATTTGCTTAAAAAAGTGAAAACAGTATCTAATACATGCAGGGTTTACCAAGTGCCACTGTCCTAAATACCTGTATTATTATATAATTCATATCACAAAACATACCTCAAAGCCATCTACTTCTCTCCATCTTCATTGCAACCAGGGCCTAGCAACAGTCTTGTTTACCTAGATAACTCCCAAGGTCTCCAATTCACTCTCTCCGTTCCAATCCATTCTCCACAGACTGCTATTTTAAAAATATTGCCTTTTTAACCCTATGGTCTAAAGGGCTGCGATGCCTCTCAAACTTCACCTCATACCCTACACTTACCCCAGCCACAGCAGTTTTCTCTTCTGCTCCTGAATACTACTAGTCTGATTTTTAGGGTTCCTACTTGCTCTACCTGGCTTGCTCATTTTAATTTTTCAAGCCTTGAGTCAGTCACTGCTCCTCAGTATATCTAATAAAATGGCCTATGCTAGTTACTTTCTAACCCATCCCCCTATTTACTACTCTTACAGCACTTAGGTTTTCTCATTCCTAGCATCTGCCCAAAAAACATGGATATGGTCTATCTTGTTCAGCACCACAGCACCAACAACAATGTCTAGCACCTCCTTGCTGAAAACTTATGAGGCACATGGTATGGTCAGGATCCTTTTGTGGTTAAAAATCCTGTCATTAACTTGAACTACACAGAACCACACTATCAGCCTGTCAGAATGACCTTTTATTGCTAGTTATTGGGAGGAGTGGGGGGAGGGCACAACAAAACAAAATTCTCAAATTAGAGACAAGAATAAAAATACAAAAATTTAGTTTCTTTTTACTTAAAAGTACACTTCTACTAACCACAGATTTAAGCAAAAGCATGCATCTGTTAATTTGGTATGCTATACTTAAAGGAGCATCCTTCCATTTCAAGTTTTTGCCAAATGAGGTAAGGCATAAATATATGAAAAATAAGTGCTCTATGCAAAAATCAGAGGAACTTAAAAAGGAAGTATTTACTATAGAAACTAAGTCACATTTTCATCACTTAAAAGGATTGTTTATCATAGATCAACTGAAAAACACAAAGTTAATTTTCTAGAGAAACTTAGTTACTATTACAGTACATATTCTTACTGTGCTTTGTTTTTAGTTTTACCTTATAATAGAATTTTCCCATGTCACTATTCTTCTAAATTGATTTTTTTAATATGACATATATCACCAACTCATAATAAAGGCAACATATTTCCATTTCCAATTCTGCATGACTATGTTATCAATTCATTACTACAAAGAATGAACTTGTGCACACATTGTAATACCTGATTATTTCTTTATATATCTTTAAATAGAATCACGGGGTGGGGGTGGATGGGGGGGGGGACCCGGGTAGTTTAGTCTGTTAAAGAGTCTGCCTTCTGCTCCCAGGGTCCTGGGGCTGAGCCCCACCTAGGGCTCTGCAGGGAGTTCTGCTTCTCCCTCTCCCTTTGCTCCTCTCCCTCCCCCACACCACTGATCACAGGCTCTCACTCAAATAAAATCTTAAAAAAAAAAAAAAAAAAGGAGAATCACTGGTCAGAAAGCATAAAACTTTGAATTTCTTTTCGTAAAAGAATAACTGACCTCCAAAACACTGTATGTCCCAATCAATAGCAAGAGTTCCTGCTTTCCTGCACCCTCAGCAGGAGGTATCATGAAAAACTTAGCCCCTGTAAGACAGGCAATGAGTAGCAAATCCTTAAACTTGTATTTCTATGCATATTGATAAGTATGGTACATTTTTACATTTTCATTGGCCACCTGAACTCCTTTATGAATTCATTCATTTCCTTCACCCACTTTTTTTTTTTTTTTTTTACTGGAAGATACAGTGGTTTGTAAACATTCTTCATAAATTAGGGATACTAACTTCATAACTGCACTGTTCAATACGGGAGTCACTGTTCACTGAACACTTGAAATGTGGCTATTAAAAAGTGCTAAGTGTAAAATACACAGACTTCGAAGATTTAGTACAAAAAGATAATGCAAGTATCTCAATTTTTGATTATGTAGTATTTTGAATTTATTGGCTAAAACATTAAAATAAACTATCTGTTTTGTTTTGACTGTTCCACATATGGCTGTCAGATAACTCAAGATTATATATACATGGCTCACCTTATCTTACTTCTGGACAGTGCGGCTCTAGAACACGATTTTCCTTTTTACCTTTAAACTGAGCTTTCGGTGTATAGGCATTTCTTATTTTTAAGTACGCAGATAAAGCAATTGTTTCCCTTAAGGTTTCCTTCTCTGCTTAATCTTTGTAATTTTACCCACCCCCGGTGGTATTTTAGAATACAGGAATTTTAGAAGCATAAATTTTATTTCTTGACAAAGAAAAACATGTTTTTAGATTTTTTCCCCAAAGTTCTTCAAATGTCCTTTTCTTCTTTCTTACATCCGTTCGATTTAAATAGTACCATTTTTCTAAATTTTTTAAATCTTACCATAATGACCGCCCTTTTAGTATATGTGCTGCCGAAGTGAGCACGATGACCGCCCTTTTAAAAACTGTTTCAGTTATTATTGGAACTAAATTTTCACAAAGAAGGTTATTTTTAAAACCTACTATCTGCTCAGTGTGAAAACACGTTTTTAATTTTCTGATAAACATTCCAAAGAACTCTGCAAAGTCATTCTGACCGAAGCAATAGGTACTTACTATCTGTGGTTCACAGATGAGCAAGACAAAGAGCACATAATTTTCAGCATGAGGACAGCTACGGAGAACAGGAATTACAAATTTCACTACTTCAAGTCCCTTCTACCAACTTAGAAGGCAGCTTAGCCAATACACCTAATTTAAGTGTAAAATGCCAAAATTGCTTGGTCAATCGAATCAACTACGCTAGAAGGTTTACTTGGGGATTCTGGAGTACGGTATAATCAGAAGATTCATTTTGCTCCTAAGAGAACCAGCTATACTACCAATACAGAAAAAGTCAAATTTTCTGTCCCCACTAAAAAGCCCCCAGAACATGATGTTAACAGTAACTCTGCTGAAATTTTAAGAGCCAATCTTTACATTTACTGCAAATTAAAGATACTAATATATTCCGAACCGTCTGCACAGCACAGGCATCGCTGTGGCTTACGTTACCTGTACACCTGAAGGTCTGGGACTACAAGCTCTAACTTCTAACGCCAGGCCACAAACACGCTACCGATTTTTTTTTTTTTCAAACGTGAGTTTCTGGGAAACGTTCCTGTACAGAGTCTGCATGCTCAAGAATCTGGGGAGTTAGACCAGGGGTGGATGTGGTTCTGTGTTCTTCCCTCGGTTCTCCACGAGTCAAGCTGCAGGATGCTGAGCTACAGCATTAACGTAGATAAGCCCGCTGGAAACAGGCTCAAGGCTATTTTGGAAACCGTGGGGCAACTTAAATTTGAGTCAAAAAAAAAAAAAAAAAAAAACACACTAGTGTGGGATCCCTGGGTGGCTCAGTGGTTTAGCGCCTGCCTTCAGCCCAAGGCATGACCCAGGCTCCCGGGATCGAGTCCCGCATCGGGCTCCCTGCATGGAGCCTGCTCCTCCCTCTGCCTGGGTCTTTGCCTTTCTCTTTGTGTCTTGTTAACAAATAAGTAAGATCATAAAAAAAAAAAAAAGAGAGAGAGAGAGAGAGAGTAGTGAAGGAGAGGGATAAAAACCCTCATCAAGCACCATTTTCGGGGTTACAGCTCCGGGACACAGGTTTTCACCTAAAAGACTGTTCAGTGGAACTGAATTTAGCTCTGCGGCTGCAGGACCCAAGGCCGGGGCCACTCAGAGGCTCTTGCAGCTTCACGTCCTCATACTTAAGGATGAATCATAAACGGTGAGTGCTGTCCCATCCCTCCCCCCATTCCTCCCTCCATCCCATCCTCCTATCCCTCCCTCTCTCCCTCCCATCCTTCCCTCCCTCCATCCCAACCCTTCCTTCCTCCCATCCATCCCTCCCTCCCTCTCTCCATCTTTTTAGGAAACTTAAGGAAGCTGGGAACACGGGAACCGGGGCCGGGAACCGGGGCCGGGCGGTCGGCGGAGGCGAAGGGGGGGCCGGGGGGGCGGGGGCCCGGCACCGGGAGCCGGCAGCCGCTCAGTGAGGCCGGAGGGAGGGCCCAGCGCCGCGCACGCAGCGTCCCTCGGCCCCTCGGCCCCTCGGCCCCTCGGCGGCCGCTCAGGACGCCGCCCGCCCGGGGCTCGCCGGGGTCCCGGGGTCGGGAGGGCGGCGGGAGCGGCCGACGCGCGGACACTCACCCGGGTGCTCGCGGCAGCCGCGCAGACGGAGCCGGCACACCGACGACCAGCTACAGCCGCGGGCGGCGGCGGCGGCGGCCAAGCCCGGCAACATCGTCGCGGCCCGCGGGCCCCCAGCCGGACGCCGCCTCCAGACTCCGCGACCCGCGCGGCCCCGAGGACTCCATAGACCGGCGCCCGCCGACGCTCTCGCCTGCGCCGCCGCCGGCGGCCTCCGCGACCCGGAAGCGGTAACTCCATTTATGGGCGCCGGCGCGCAGGCGGCGGAAGTGACGCAGGGACGCGGAGCGCGACTTGAGCCGCCTGGTCTCCGCGGGACGGGGCGGGGGCGGGGCCGAGGACGGGGCGGGGCCAGGGCGGGGGCGGGGCCAGCCCGGCTTGGTTCCGCCCTCTCGTCTGAGCCCCGCACCTGTAGCTCCGCGCGTCGCTGGGAAATCGTCCTCCAGGCTGCTGGCACCTGGGCAGCCGGGGAGCTCTGGGGGAAGGGACAGCTTCTCCCCGCGTCTGCCGCCTCCTGGCTGCTTCCTGAGCCCCCCTGCGAGAGGTGGGAGGAAGGTGTGGGAGGAAGGTGGGAGGAAGGATGGGGAGGAAGGTGGGGAGGAAGGATGGGGAGGAAGGTGGGAGGAAGGATGGGGAGGAAGGTGGGAGGAAGGTGGGAGGAAGGATGGGGAGGAAGGTGGGGAGGAAGGATGGGGAGGAAGGTGGGAGGAAGGTGGGGAGGAGGATGGGGAGGAAGGTGGGAGGAAGGATGGGGAGAAGGTGGAGAAGGTGGGGAGGAAGGATGGGGAGGAAGGTGGGAGGAAGGAGGGGAGGAAGGTGGGGAGGAAGGAGGGGAGGAAGGTGGGAGGAAGGTGGGGAGGAAGGAGGGGAGGAAGGTGGGGAGGAAGGATGGGGAGGAGGGGGGAGGAAGGAGGGGAGGAAGGTGGGAGGAGGTGGGGAGGAAGGGGAGAGGAAGGTGAGAGGAAGGAGGGGAGGAGGGGGGAGGAGGATGGGGAGGAAGGTGAGAGGAAGGTGGGGAGGAGGGGGAGGAAGGATGGGGAGGAAGGGGAGAGGAAGGTGGGGAGGAAGGATGGGGAGGAAGGTGGGGAGGAAGGTGGGAGGAGGGGGGGAAGGTGGGGAGGAAGGATGGGGAGGAAGGTGGGAGGAAGGATGGGGAGGAAGGTGGGAGGAAGGTGGGGAGGAAGGATGGGGAGAAGGTGTGAGAGGTGGGAGGAAGGTGGGAGGAAGGAGGGGAGGAAGGATGGGGAGGAAGGATGGGGAGGAAGGTGGGAGGAAGGATGGGAGGAAGGTGGGAGGAAGGTGGGGAGGAAGGTGGGAGGAGGATGGGAGGAAGGATGGGAGGAAGGTGGGAGGAAGGTGGGAAGAAGGTGGGGAGGAAGGTGGGAGGAGGTGGGGAGAAGGGGGGAGGAGGTGGGAGGAAGGAGGGGAGGAAGGTGGGGAGGAAGGATGGGGAGGAAGGTGGGAGGAAGGATGGGGAGGAAGGTGGGAGAGGGTGGGAGGAAGGATGGGGAGGAAGGAGGGGAGGAAGGTGGGGAGGAAGGTGGGAGGAAGGTGGGGAGGAAGGAGGGGAGGAAGGGATGGAGAGGGGGGGAGGAAGGTGGAGGAAGGGGGGGAGGAAGGATGGGGAGGAAGGTGGGAGGAAGGTGGGAGGAAGGTGGGAGGAAGGATGGGGAGGAAGGATGGGGAGGAGGTGGGAGGAGGTGGGAGGAAGGATGGGGAAAGGTGGGAGAAGGTGGGAGGAAGGATGGGGAGGAAGGTGGGAGGAAGGAGGGGAGGAGGTGGGGAGGAAGGATGGGGAGGAGGTGGGAGGAAGGGGGAGGAGGTGGGAGGAAGGAGGGGAGGGAGGATGGGGAGGAAGGTGGGGAGGAAGGATGGGGAGGAGGTGGGAGGAAGATGAGGAGGAAGGTGGGAGGAAGGTGGGAGGAGGGATGGGGAGGAAGGGGGAGGAAGGATGGGGAGGAGGTGAGAGGAGGTGGGAGGGGAGGTGGGAGGAAGGAGGGGAGGAAGGGGGAGGAAGGATGGGGAGGGAGGGGGGGAGGAAGGATGGGGAGGAAGGTGGGAGGAAGGATGGGGAGGAAGGTGGGAACAAAGTGGGGAGGAAGGGGGTCTCGTGCCCAGGGTCTGCATTGGGCGGGGGCCCGGGGTCCTGGGGCTCACGCAGGGCTGAGCGCAGGCAGGCGACAGGCGCGACCCGACCTGCCGGCTGTGCGCAGCGCGCTGGTGGTGGTGCTGCTCTCGGTAATGCTTATCACTGTTTGAAATCATCCGTGTATTTATCCTTGGGGGATTTCCTGCTCCTCAGAATAGAAAATAAGCATCCGGATGCTGGAATCTCAGGCTGTGTCCATCGCTGCTCCCAAAGGGGTAAATACACTCAGCGGAATGCATGGTGGGTTTTTGTTTTTTCTTTTTTCTTTTTAACATTTTATTTATTTATTTGAGAGATCGAGCACACGTGAAGGGGAAGGGTCGAGGGAGAAGCAGATGCCCCGCAGAGCAGGGAGCCTGACACCGGGCTCAACCCCAGGACCCTGGGATCACCCCTGAGCCGAAGGCAGACGCCCAACCAACCGAGCCCCCCAGGCCAACCCGGTGGCTTGTTTTGAAATAAATCTGAGCAGCTTAACTGTGCCACTCCACAATAGCTATTTCAGAAGGAAATAAATTAGCATGCTCCTAATTCTGAGTCAACAGTCTTTTATGCTGATGGAGATCACCAGGTTAATGACGTCATAATGATGAAATTATAAGAATGGTAAACAAATTTAACTTCTACGATAAACACAGGTTAAAATACTAAATGGTCAGGGCACCTGGGTGGCTGAGTCAGCTAAGCGTCTCCCTCTGGATTTCAGCTGAGGTCCTGATCTCTGGGTGGTTGGGATGGAGCCCCACCTGCAGCCCTGCCCCTCTGCTGCTCCCCTCTGTCCTGCAGCGCTCTCTCTCCCTCTCTCTCAAATAAATAAAATCTCTTTTAGAAAATAAAATAGGGGATCCCTGGGTGGCTCAGCAGTTTGGTGCCTGCCTTCGGCCCACAGCATGATCCTGAAGTCCTGGGATCGAGTCCCACATCGGGCTCCCTGCATGGAGTCTGCCTCTCTCTCTCTGTATCTCTAATGAATAAATAAATAAAATTATTAAATAAATAAATAAAAATAAAAAATAAAATAAGGGGCACCTGGGTGGCTCAGTGGTTGAGCATTTCAATGGTTAACAGTCCCAGGGTCCACGGTTCAAGCGCTGCATCTGGCTCCCTGGAGGAGCCTGGTCCTCCCTCTCCCCATGGGTCTGCCTCTCGCTGTCTCTCATGAATAAATAAATTTTTTTAATCTTTAAAAATATTAAAAATAAACTCACCACTTATTTCCCTTCCTTCTCTTAAAAAAAATTAAGTGGACATTTTAAAATGTGCCATAAATATTCATAACCTCAAGATTACTTAAATGTCTGAATTACAGGAAAGTTATCTCTTCCTTGTAAATAGATTTTAACAGAAATTCAACTCTGTGATATAAAATACAAAGAAAAATAAAATACAAAGAAGCTTAGCTCTAATTCTACGTTGATATCCACTAACCTTCACTACAGTACTTACGTGCTCTGGATTCCTAAAGTAGCCCCTGGTTTCTTAACGTGGATACTGTATTCATTTTGATAAAACCTCCAGAAGCCTTGACTTGCCAAATAAATTTGAGGAATAAAGTGGATCACGCTGTGTTACCTCATTTAACCCTAACGATGCTCTATCAGATAATAAGGTCGCCATGGACTTGGATGAAAACACCGCAGCTGTCTTAGTGCGTAAAGCCATATCGTCATTATATATGTACCTGTCCTGCTGGACAGTCCTCAGAATCTCCCAAAGTGCTGAAAATTGAGGCAATGTCAGTTTTAGAGTTCCTTAGGAGAATTTCCTTTGACCCTAAATTCTTTGAGAAATCCCATCCTTCCCAAGAGACTTTGCCTTGCTGCTCCACTTCAGACCACTCAGCAGCTGCCTATGTGTACTCAGTGGGTAAAATTCCAATATCGTGGAGCTTATTTCCTATCAGAGGAGACCGAAAATTTAAAAATAAACACATAATTTCAAATAGTGATGATGTTATATGGGCATTCAGCAGAGCGTGGGACTCTTGATCCTGGCGTTGTGAGTTTAAGCCCCATGTTTGGGGTACAGCTTACTTTAAAATGGTATTATTGGTAATAATATTATTTACTTATTGCCACACCCTCTATGTGCAGTATCTCATTCATGACACCTAACCAAGTTACAGATGAGGAAACTAAGGCAGGGATCTTGCTTTTAACCACCACACTTTACCTTCTAAGTCTGTGGATTTTATCCTTTGGAAGAAAATACAAGGTCTTTCAAAAGATTTGAATGACAACATTGCCTTTCGTTTCCTGAAATGTAGGTCAAGAGAGGGTGGCCCTAGATTTTTTAATGTAGATCGATATGACATTGACATTGCATTTCAAAAAAAAATAGAGTTTCATAGGATTTGTGATACAAATAGATGCCTAAATATAGATAACGGTTAGGTCAGAGAGCTGGAAATAGAAGGCGGAAGGAGCCAAGGGTCATTTGATTATTAGCAGACACCACACCTGCAAGGCTTTCCATGAACTCTGTAGAAGTTCCTACGCCTTTCAGGAATTTGCTTCTGTAATTGAGCTTGGTTTCACCTTGGCTATTACTTTGGGAACATAGGGATTCTGATCATGAGACAGATTTGGCCATTTATTCGGAAAATTGACTCCGATGGTGCATTGCAAGATAAAGTGAGTGGTGCTATCATGGGGGATACTGAGAACACTAATTTTGAGCGCGTATATTTCTGGGTGCCAGGCTGCCTTCTGCATGCAGGATGGGAGGCGGACGGAGCTTGCCCACCTCAGCACTTAAAAAGTAAGTGGGTTACACGTGGATACAAGGGAGGCCACGACAAGAGGGTCAGTGCGTGCTGCACTGCGGGCACAGTCGAAAGCAAGGTGGGGCTGCCCAGATAGATTTTGCGTATACAGGCAAATGTCTGCATAAGAAACTGAAACGAGGGGCAGCCCGGGGGGCTCAGCAGTTTAGCACCGCCTTCGGCCCGGGGCGTGACCCCAGGGACCTGGGATCCAGTCCCATGTCGGGCTCCCCGCAGGGAGCCTGCTTCTCCCTCTGCCTGGGTCTGTGCCTCTTTCTCTGTGTCTCTCATGAAAAAATAAATAAAATCTAAGGGAAGGAAGGAAGGGAGGGAGGGAGGGAGAGAGAGAGGAGAGGGAGGGAGGGAGGGAGGGAGGAGGAAGGAAGGAAGGAAGGAAGGAAGGAAGGAAGGAAGGAAGGAAGGAAGGAAGGAAGGAACTGAAAAGTGAAGCTGATGCAGTGTCCGAGCTAATCCTCCTGTCCACTTGTCAGCTGTTGAGTGGTTTTCCCAAGACCTCTTGGCCAGGACGGGCTAGATAGAACACGGAATCAGACACGGGTCCTCTGACTCCAAATCCGTGTGTGTGAGCATGGGGTGCACTGGGGAGAGGCAGAGGTTGGTTGTTCTGATGGGTTTTCTCTTGTTCCTTGATCACAATTATTATGTGAAATAACTATATAGTATCCGCACCTGCATTCGACAGGCACACTCTTTGCCGCTTCCATCCAGAAATAAAAAGATCGAGTTCTCCGATGACGACCATCTTCCTGGGTCCCAGCTGCCTTATCCATCTTCACTTCCCCAAGAGTAACCCCTTTTGCTCCCGGTGCATGGAGCCTGCTTCTCCCTCTGCCTGTGTCTCTGCCTCTCTCTCTCTCTCTCTCTCTCTCTCTCTCTCTCTCTCTCTGTGTGTGTGTGACTATCATAAATAAATAAAAATTTTTAAAAAAAAAGAGTAACCCCTTCTGCAATTCACTTTGTAAGTTGGGGGGGAACTTCCTAGGTGAACTTCTTTATACACACATCTGCCACCATGTGGCCCTGGTCCTTAGACGCCGGCGATCCGGGCATTACAAGCATTACAGCTGGGGAAACCAGAAGCTCCTCCTCCAGCCACCACCCTCCCGCCCCTCGAGGTCGCAAGCTCCTGCTCCTGAGCACATCCACTGGCCTTCCCCATTCGGGGACTTCATGTGCCTGAACTGTGCGCTGAGTCCTTCCTAGATGGCTCCTGCGAAAGAGTCACTTCCTTACCCGCTATGTTCCTGGGACCCGTACTGTGTTCGTCATCGCTGCCGTAAGATCCCCTGCATGAAGATCCCACAATGTACCCCTTTCACTGCAGACCAGCATCTGGGTAGTTTCAGTTTGGAGCCACTTATCACAGCTTACCACGGCCCGGGGGGGGGGGGGGGTGCTGTCGCATGGACCGAGGCCGCCCAGCACGCAGACCCCCAGTGTTAGCGGGTACCGCAGTTTCCCACAGCAGCTGCACCAACATACACACTCCCGACGCAGTGTGTCCGAGTCCTGCTCCCTCGCGACCGTACGGACACGTGCTGCTACCTTTTTTTTTTAACCTCATGGTAGGTATGGAGTGGTCGGAATTAAGGCTTTAATTTCCACTTCCTAGGGGTTCCTGGCTGGCTCAGTCAGTAAAGCATGTGGCTCTTGATTTCAGGGTCATGAGTTCAAGCCCCACATCGGGCAGGCATGGAGCCTACTCAATTTCCACTTCCTTGGTGATGAATGAAGCCGGATACCTTTTCCAGTACATACTGGCCATTCGGATATATCCTTTTCATATCCTGTTCAAGACCCTTACTGCCCACCTTTCTTTCACTTTGTGCCTTTCGTATTGATTTGCAGGATTCTTACTAATATGTGTATTCTGGAAACAGGTCCCTTGTTGGATATATGCTTTACGAATACCACCTTCCACTTGGTGAGACATCTTACCATTTTTTAGTGGTATCTTTTAAGGAAAGAAAGGAAGTTCTTTTAACTCTTTTTTAATTTATTTATTTACTTATTTATTCATGATAGACATAGAGAGAGAGAAAGAGAGGCAGAGACACAGGAGGAGGGAGAAGCAGGCTCCACGCCGGGAGCCCGACGCGGGACTCGATCCCGGGACTCCAGGATCAGGCCCTGGGCTGAAGGCAGGTGCCAAACCACTGCGCCACCCAGGGATCCCCAGAAAGGAAGTTCTTAATGTTAAATTATCAATTTGTCTAAACTACCAACTTATTTCACTGAGAGTATCTTTTGTGTTCTATTTTGAAAACTGGTACTCCTGCCATGGTACTTGCAAAGTTTTGGAGTGTCTTCAAGACCCCATCCCCATTTGGATGTTTGCTTAACTGCCAAGTTTGCTGGCCTATCCCAGTGCCGTGAATTACGGAGGACATGGTAAGCCTGAGGGAAGACAGCATAGGGAGCAGAGACTGTGCATCCTGACTGATCCTACAGACCTCAAGTTGGGATCGCGGAGAATAAAAGAGACTGACACCTGTAGACTTGTCGCAGAACACTGAAACACAAGGCAATAGGTATGCATGTATCAGGTGAACGTACTTCAGCCCTGCAACCAGCAGTCGGCTGATGGATACAGCGCATCTTGCAAAGAACGATCAAAGCATAGAAGCTGCTTGGGATTGCAGTTCTCCTCAGTTGGGTCTGTTGGGAATCCCCATGTGTCCTCACTGACAAGTAGCTGGATAAGCCACAATGACCTGCAGAAAGGGGACAGCAACATATAGAATAACACCCAGTGCTCATCCCGTCAAGTGCCCACCTCAGTGCCCGTCACCCAGTTGGCAAATTGAACACCAATAAAAAACAAATTCATAAAAAAAAGGGGGGGGGGGACAGCAACTTTACCACATTCACGCGTTTGAGATCGAGCTCCTGACTCCACCATCAGAAGAGCAAGTACGTGGAAGAGAAAGGCGTGTGGGGAGTGAGCTGGAGCCACGGGTCCAGTCTACTCTACCCCAGAGGGTTGTGCATGTTTTTAAATGACATATGAGATTAATGCTTTTTTAAAGATTTATTTATTTGAGAGAGAGAGCAAAGTTGGTGGGGGGGGGGGAGAAGAGGGAGAGAAGCAGACTCCCTGTGGAGCATGAAGCCCAACATGGGGCTCAATCCCATGACCCCCAAATCACGACCTGAGCCAAAACCAAGAGTCAGACACTCAACCAACTGAGCCACCCAGACACCTGAGATTAATGTTTTAAAAGAATAGGAAATCTCAGTACATGGAATTAAAGTATTAGTAACCAGGGAGGCTGTTACCTGAAAACAATGAAGTTTGACAAGTACCAAGTGTAGAAAAACAGGAAAACTTCATGCTTACGCCTCTGGAGTTGAGATTCTCAAAACTAACGCGTGCAAAACCGTAGGAACTACATAAATGTTTTCACTCTCCTTTAGTCCCTAGGCCCCTTCAGAGAGAGCGAGCTACGGTTCCGGCTATAAAATCCCTAAGGACTGTCACCCCACAGAGACAGCTCTCAATCCACTTTTATTTCTTTTCTAATCAGCTCTCCTTCCCTCTCGATAAACATATACGCAGCTCTTCTAGGAGAAATAAGTATTTCCCCTTAAATGTTGCACAACTTTGAGTTCCATCCCCCAGAGGCTCGCTCAGCCTCCAGAATCCTTTCCCTCTCTCCTAGGGATCTACATGCGCGGCCTCCAGCATTCCCCTTAATCTCTTCGTCCACCACCTCCTCCTGATTCTTTTTTTTTTTTTTAAAACATTTTATTTATTTTTTCATGAAGGACACAAAGGAGAGAGAGAGGCAGAGACCCAGGCAGAGGGAGAAGCAGGCCCCATGCAGGGAGCCCGACGCAGGACTTGATCCCGGGACTCCAGGATCACGCCCTGGGCCGAAGGCAGGCACTAAACCGCTGAGCCACCCAGGGATCCCCTATTTTGTTTTTTTTTTTTTTAAAGATTCCTCCTCCTGTTTCTCCATAAGTGACCTCGTAGCCCTGCCCTTCTGGCCTGACCATGTGCCAGTTCCATCCATGTCTGAAGCCACTTCCCCACTTCGGCATCGCTGTTGGGAATCAGAGGGACGAATGGGAGCCAGTATTTATCTTCTTGCCTCAAATATCTACTCAAGGGATAGGAAGGTAAAAAGATAAACAGGGCCAGAGTCTTGCTTTTTTTGTATTCCCAGCCTCTCGTGAACCCACCTTCCATCAAATATTTCAGTAGCATGGACATGCTTCCTTATGCTCCTTTGTTCCCCCCAGCTCTGCTACCCCTTCTCCTAACACGGCCAACAGCCCTTGTCTTCGGGTAGCTTGGTGGAAGTGCCTCTGTCTGGCATCAGTCTCTCTCTCTCTCTCTCTCTGTTTTTTTTTTTTAAATTTTATTTATTTATTCATGAACGACACAGAGAGAAAGAAGCAGAGACAGAGGCAGAGGGAGAAGCAGTCTCCATGCAGGGAGCCCGACGTGGGCCTGGATCCCGAGTCTCCAGGATCAGACCTTGGGCCAAAGGCAGCGCTAAACCGCTGGGCCACCTGGGCTGCCCAATTTTTTTTTTTTTTAATAGTAGAGTTCAGGGCCACTGAAGGACATTTATCATATTTTCTGTCAGCCCAGCATATTTTTAATGTATTTCCAATATCAGGGGAACCTCCCCGCTCGTGGGGTCCACCTCCCCAAGGTAAAAGGAGGCTGGGACTTGCTTTCCCAGACCCCCTTGCAGCTTAGGGCCCCACAGATGGGACAGATATTTCCATCTGAATGAAAGTAATGGGGAAACCAAGGCATTTCATGGAATACATTTTGGGCAAGGGAAGAGGTATGAGGCCAAGACACATGCAGCTTTCAGGGAGAGTAGGGACCTAAGTTCTGGTGAGTGGCCCCTAAGTGTGATGACCGTCTCCGGTAGAAGCTGCATCATTCCTCGTTCCACAGCTTCCAAGCTTGATCCTCTACATCCAGATAGTTAGCTACTCAATGTCCTTTGAAAAAGGATCCTTTTCTGTTTACGGTGGATTTTGTTTCAGACGTTCAGTGTCTATTTACTGAATGTAGTCTGTGTTCTAGGAACTAGCTCTTAGCATGAGAAAACGAAGAGATCCCTGTCCCCATAAAGCTTACTCTCTGTAGGGGAGACAGATGTTAAATATGAAAATGCTGCATGCCATATGAGAAGACAATAAATGTGGTCAGAAAGATAAAGCAGTTAAGGAGAAGAAATGCCAGGGCTGGGGTATGGCACATTTATTTTTTTTTTGGTTTTTTTAATATTTTATTAATTTATTCATGAGAGACAGCGGGAGAGAGGCAGAGACACAGGCAGAGGGAGAAGCAGGCTCCATGCAGGGAGCCTGATGTGGGACTCGATCCCGGGTCTCCAGGATCAGGCCCCGGGCCAAAGGCAGCACTAAACCGCTGGGCCACCAGGGCTGCCCGGTATGGCACATTTAAATAGGACGGATGGTCAGGAAAGGTCTGACCTAAAATTGAGTCAGGTGAGACCCCGGGGTCCCAGGATCGAGTCCCACATGGGGCTCCCTGCATGGAACCTGCTTCTCCCTCTGCCTGGGTCTCTGCCTCTCTCTGTGTCTCTCATGAATAAATTAATAAAATCTTAAAAAAAAAAAAACATAGTAAACAGACAACCACTGAGCCACCCGGATGCCCCTCTTCTTACTGTTTTTAATGTGCTCCTAGAAAATTTAAAATTATGCAAGTAGCTTGCATCTGTGCCTTGCATTGTATTTCTACTGCTTCTCCAAACACACGCAGCCTCAATCCTTTTGAGGTACTCCCGCGTTCCTCAGAATCCCACCTCCGGTCCTTGGGCCTTGCCTCCAAAGGACGCTGTCAGTCTCTCTGCTCCAGCTACTTCTACTATTGT